GGTCACATTTGGAGAGGGCACTGGGACGGACTCACAAGCAGTACAGACTTTCACGAGAAGAGTGTTACTATATATATATATATATGGAGAGAGAGAGAGAGAGAGAACACGCGAGGGAGGGAGCGAGCGTGTGTGCCGGCAGTATAATGTAATGTTGAAACAGGGCTTCAGAGTCACACAGACCAGGTTGTGTCTGTGTCTGTTGGAGAGTTACTTAATTTATTTTAAATCATATGAGCATATGATTTAAAAACAAACAAACAAACATAAAATAGAGTCTCTGAGTACCTATCTCATAGAGAAGATACAGATTAAATAAGAATGTACAAAACACTTAGATTGTACTTATGCCGAGATATACAAATATTAACAATAATTATCTCTACGTAACAGGGTTATATTTTTCATTGTTTTCCTTAACTGTACTTTCCATTAAAAAGTCTTAAACTATCTTTGATTCTTTTTTCAACACCTTCCCAACCCTGGTATTTAATCTGCAAATCCTGCAGATTCTGTTTCAGAAAAGTTTTTCCCATTTGAGTCTGCAAGACCTGCCCCTGTTTGTATAGGGTTTCCAAGGAGCAGCTGGTGAGCTGGAACCACTAACCATGTAGCGTTCGAGACCATTGCTGTTACCACTGTGTCAATCCATCTCTTTGGGGGTCTTCCTCTTTTTGATTCACCCTCTACTTTACCAAACATGATGTCCTTCTCCAGGGACTAATCCCTCCTGCTAACAGATCTAAAGTAAGAGAGATGAACTCTCAACACCCTGGCTTCTAAGGAGCATCTGGCTGTATTTCTTCCACCACAGATTTGTTTGATCTTCTGGCAGTCCACAGTACTTTTAATATTCTTCCGTAACATCATAATTCAAATGCATTCATTCTTCCATAGTCGTCCTTATTCATTATACAACTTTCACATTCATATGAGGCAACTGAAAAGACCATGGCTTGGGTCAGGTGCACCTTAGTCCTCACACTGATATGACAACTTTGCTCCTGAACACTTTCAAGAGGTCTTGTGCAGCTGATTGCCTAATCCATCATTTGATTTCTGGACTGCTGTTTCCATAAGTGTTGATTGTGGATTCAGGAAAAATGAAGTTTTTGACAACTTCAATCTTTTCTCCATTTATCATGATGTTATGTATTGGTCCAGTTTTGAGGACTTTTGTTTTCTTTACATTAAGGTGCAATCCATACTAAAGGTTGCACTCTTTGATCTTCATCAGTATCTTAAGTTTTCTTCCTTTCTAACAAGCAAGGCTGTATCATCTACATATCACAGGTTGTAAATGAGTCTTCCTCCAATCCTGATGCCACAATGTTCTTCATATAATCCAGCTTCTCGGATTATTTGTTCAGTATACAGATTGAGAAATCCTGGTGTGGCACTGTGACTTAATGCACTGGACTACAAGGTCGTTTTAAACCATGAGGTCGGCAGTTCAAGCTTACCAGCAACTCCTCGGAAATTTTATACAAGGTCTCTGTGAGTTGGAACCCACTCAATGGCACTTAACACCATGACCAAATACAAGCTGAGTCCTGGTGTGCTGTTGCGGGTTAATGAGCTGGGCTACAAGGTTGGTTTGAGCCGCAAGGTCGGCGGTTCAAATTCATCAGCCTCTGAAACCCTATACAGGGTCATTATTAGTCGGAACTTCCTCAATGTCACTTAACAACAACAACAGCACACAGATTGAAGCCTGTGTTGAAGTAAGTTCAGCCAGAGTGCTCCTTAGAAGGCAGGATGGCCAGACTCCATCTCTCATACTCTGGGCTTATTATCAGGAAGGACCAGTCCCTGGAGAAGGACGTCATGTTTGGTAAAGTGGAGGATCAGAGAAAAAGAGGAAGGCCCCTAACGAGACAGTCTGATTCAGTGGCAGCAGCAGTGGGCTCAAGCATAACAATTATTGTGAAACTGGTGCAGGACCAGGCAGTGTTTTGTTCTGTTGTGTATAGGGTCACTATGAGTCAGTACCAACGGCACCTAACAACAACAACAACAACAACAACAATACAGATTGAATGTTGAAAAGATACAACCCTGATGTATCTGATTTTAACCATTCAGTATTCCCTTGTTCTGTTCTAACTGCCTCTTGGTCTATATATAGGTTTCTCATGAGCACAATTAAGTGTTCTGGAATACCCAAAAAGTGGAAACAACCTAAATACCCATCAAATGATAAATGAATAAACAACAGAATATTACTCAACCAGAAGGAGAAATGACGTCTACAGTATGGATGGAGCTTGAAAACATTATGCTGTGTAAAATGAGCCAGTCACAAAAAGATAAACGTTGTTGTTGTTAAGTGCCATTGAGTCGGTACCAACTCAGAGCGACCCTATGCACTGTCCAGCTTTCGCATGCTTATGAGGCTATTGAAAACACCATGGCTTGGGTTAGGTGCACCTTAGTCCACAAGCTGACAACTTTGCTCTTCAACACTTCAAAAAGTACCGTGGTGGCTTGTGAGTTGCTGTGTTTTGGAAGCTATACCATGGGTATTTTAAATACCAGCAGGGTCAGCCATGGTGGACAGGTTTCAGATGAGCTTCCAGACAAAGACAGACTAGGAAGAAGGATACACAAACTACTTCCAAATATTTAGTCACTGAGAACCTCATGAATGGCAGAGAAACACTGTCAGATATAGTGCTGGAAAATGAGCCCCTCAGGTTGGAAGGCACTCAAAATATGACTGGGGAAGAGCTGCCTCCTCAAAGTAGAATTGACCGTGCTGGTGCGAATGGAGTAAAGCTCATGGGAGTAAAGACCTCGAGACCTTCATTTGCTGATGGGCACAACTCAAAATGAAGAGAAATAATTGTAAACATCCATTAATAATCGAAACATGGAATGTACCAAGTATGAATCTAGGAAAATTGGAAATTGTCAAAAATGAAATGAAACGCATGAACATCGATATATTAAGCATTAGTGAGCTGAAATGGACTGGTATTGCCCATTTTGAATGTGACAAACATTGTATGACCTCACTTATATAAAAAGATTATAGGCAAATATACAGAGACCCAAGTTTATTAGTGGTGTGGTGCTGTAGGAAAAGCACTGGACTGTTAAGTCAGTTTGAACTGCAAAGACGGAAGTTTAAACTCGCCAGCTGCTCCTCTGAAACCCTATATAGGGTTGCTATGAGTCAGAATTGACTCAACGGCACTTAACAACAAGAGGGGTAGGCAGGAGGGTGAAATAAAAGGGATGATAACAGGGTATTAATTAAGGGTAAGGTCATATTGCCAATTGTTTTCATTGCTGTCTGTTGTACACCTGCAAACAACTGAGTTGGCTAAAGTTGTAGCACATTTATAACAACGACCAGGACCACAACAAAAGTATTAGCTGAGGCTGCATCTATACAATCATATATACCTCATGGGACTTGGCTCTTTGGTTTGGAGGTTTAAGATCATAGTTTCATGGGATTAGTCTTAACAGCATTTTTAATGCCTCTATTATGCTTTCTAGTTTGGTATGTGTGCTTGGGATTATAAAAGCTTACAATTGGCCATCCAAAGTACAATTGGTCTCTGGAAAACAGAGGAAGATGGGGAGTCTGGAATAGGAAGGTATGGAATGTGTGGCTTATTACCTCCTTTGGCATAAGACTAGAAGTGGCTGGTGCCAAGCGTCCATTATTGTGCATTTTGACCAGACTATAGAAGGCTCCTAATTACTAAAAGGGGGTTAATGCAAAGCAGGATTTTCAATGATCATGGACTTCGGTCTTTCTGGAGTTATGGAGGTTAGATGAATCCCTGAGATAATCTTTAAACCTAAACCAAAAACATTCCCTGAAGTTTTCTTAAAACCAAGCAATAGTATTATTTAACTAGTAAGAGCGTCTGCCTTGAGCATTATGCTCTTAGAAGATCTATCTATACAGGATCAAACTGACAACTGGAAAGATTAGACAGGAACCTTAGTGTGCAGTGTGAGATGATATTGATGGAGGAAGAACAACTCAGAAAAGGTGGGTGAGAAGGATGCACAATTTGAAGGATGTCATCGACGTCACTCAATTTGGAGAAACTGTTGAACTGAAGTGTGTTTTGCTGTGTACACTCTTAACAACAACAACAACAACAAAAAATTAAATTTAAAAAGGAGGTAGGGGAAAAGCAATGTAGAAGTGGTGAAGTATCCAGCAAATGGGTTAGAAAAGAGGAAAGTTTTCTGTTATCTCCTGTGAGGTAAATCAGGCTAACTTTGTGAGAGAACCGCTGGGAAGATCCACAAACACCGTACGTACTTCTCAGGGACTAAGAGAAACTAATCCCCAGGGATTGGAGTCCATACACAATGCTAAGAACCCATGGGGACTTCTCTCCAGATATGGGGAAAGACTTATTGCCCAGAAGATTCCAATCGGGTTTGGGGATTTAGCCTTAACATAACTTCAAGGGATTGAGACTGCCCTCCCCACACATAACATGAGCTCTGCTTTCAAGGCCATGTGTGGCCAGAGCCATCCCCGCCGTAATCGGATTCCGAACGCACAGCCTGAGGGAGCGGGGGGAGGGTGCGAGGATAGCTCCAATCTGTTGTCCGCAGCAGCACCAGACAAAAAGCACAGGAAAGCATAAACGTCCACAACCCTTAACCACTGTACGGAAATAAAAGCCTCTCAAGGACTGGGGAGAAGTGACAGAGCCCTTCCCAGCCCAGGCCCGAACACAGTGCGCCTATTGCTGTTTTCCAGCCAGAAGGGGCCAGGACCCCCGATCTCCGAAAGCTGACCTGCGAGTAAGGGAGACCCTCCCCGGGTCAGAGTCCAACCTTGAGCAGAGGGCAAACAAAAGGATGGTTTTGAGAGGTCGTGCCGGGGGCAGAAGAGCCAATAAGTGAGAGGGTAGGCTCAGGGACTTCCCAGGGAGCAGGACCAGGTCCCGGCTGGGGCGACCAGAACTTCCAAGGCTGCGCGCTCCGACGCGAAGTGGCGGCCGCGGAGCCCTTCTTACCATCTCCTTGCGCAGGAGCGCTAGCGCCGCGTCCAAGTTGGGGGGCTTCGCTGGCAGCGCCGCGCCTCGTGCCGCGCTACCCGCAGCGCCCCCTCGGCTCAGCTCGTCCTGGATGCGCGACTTCTGCGCGTACAAGCGCTCCAGATGCCGCCAGCCGCCCGGCGCGCCGCCGCCAGACGACGAGTTGAGCAGCCCGCTTAGGCTCTTCGGCAGCGGCGGCAGCCCGTCGACCCGTAGGCCCCGCACGCCTTCCGAGGCTCCTGAGCCCGCCGATCCCGATGGCGCCCACCCGCTCATGGCTCCGCGGGCAGAACTGGCCAAACTCGCGGCTCCATTCGGAGCCCCAGCCGTCGCGCCCCGAGTCAGTCCCGGCGCCCCGCCCCGCGTCCTGCCCGCCGGCGCCCCGCCCCACCCTCAGCCTCCACCTTTAGCCCCGCCCCTTCCTACTTCTCCGCTCCCCGCCCCTCCTAGGCTCCCCTCCCGCCAGCACCATTGCCCGCTGCCCGCGCACTCACGTCAACCGACGGCGAGCACGCCCGGCCACGCCCACCGCAGTCGCTGCTTATAAGTACGGGGCCTCGTAGGTGCGGAGTAGAGCTCCAGAGGCACGGTTGTTGCTTGCTCCCTGCAGAGGTTTCCGTAATTGAAAGTACCGCCAGGCCGTCCGAGACTGCCTTCGATTGTCTGTCTCCTAGGCCAGGGCCTTACGGACTAGCTGGCAGATGGAAGGGAGAGAAAGCCGAGCTGGACCGGGGACCGCTGGCGCCGAGCACCCGCGGTCGCCTCTTTCCACCTGGTGCAAGGCAGCGCCGGAGCCCCGGGGCGCCGCGTACTTCGGGTCTCTTCGCCCGAGGAGGGCTCAGTCCTTCATTGCGAAGCTCCTGGCCTCCTTAGCGTCCGTGTTCCCAGCCACCCAGAGTAGCGTCGGTGCATTTTCAAATGCAAACGAACATTTCTTTTCAACCTGTCGCTGAACACAGGAGTAATTAATTCTAAAGGGAAATGTGGGAGAAAGAGATTAAATCAGGAAACGATCAATCAATTCTGCGGTGAAAATAAACACGCAGGACTCACACTCACGCTTCAGAGAGACATGATCTACCTCTTAGAGGAGGACTGAAAATAACAAATGGCTATGGCCAGATTGTTGTTGTTATGTGCCGTGGAGTCGGTTCCGACTCATAGCGACCCTGTACAGGGTTTCCGAGGCTGTAAATCTTTACGGGAGCAGAAAGCCTTATCTTTCTCCCACGTCACAGGTGGCATTTTCGAACTGCTGACCTTGCGGTTCGCAACCCGATTCCTAACCACTACAATTAGAAACAGAAAACTGAGGAGGGAAGGGCTGGTTTACAGCACAGCCCAAACGAGAATTTAAAACCAACGCAGTATAGAGAGTGGATGTTGTCAATGCCCTCTCATTATTGTTTCTCATCATTTTAAAAGGTATTGAAATATTCTAAATACATCCAATAGGATCATAACTAAAAAGTATTCTGAGCTCTTCAGACAAGTAATGTAAAAGACCCGTCGACCTGCACATTTCATTGGTCACCCCATTGAGCATTGATTAACCCTCTCCCACCAGCCCAGTTTTAGACATCGGCACAATGTCTTCTGTTTGATCCTAGTTACGAGATGAGACTCTGCGGAAAAAGAGAGTCTCCCCACACCTCCCCACCCCCACACACAGCCTGCGTGCATAGTGGTAGGGAGGGAGGAGGGCACCAGGAAGGTTTACCAACCCACCCACATGCCATCTTATCACTGGGCCTCACCTTCCCTAACTACTTAGTCACATTTCCTGATCTCAGGTATTCACTCATTTGCCTATCAACACTGGGTGTCTTTGGCAGAGTTACTGTTTGACTTGTGGAAGTGAGAAGGGTGTGGTAAGTATTTTGATCTTTCATTCCCTTGCTAACATGAATTCTTTTTAATTTGGTGTATTAATTTACTGTCTGAAACCTCACAAAAATCACTTTATTTAGGTGATAGATGGGTGCACTAGTAATGAGTCCTGGTGTGGAGCTGAGGGTTAATGTGCTGGACTGCAAGGTCGGTTTGAACCACAACGTCAGTGGTTCAAGCTCACCAGCCTCTCCTAGGAAATTCTATACAAGGTCATTATGAGTCTGAACAGACTCAATGGCACTTAAAAACGATGGAAATGAAATCATTTTAAAGCAACAGAGCACTGAAATGATTTTAACACATACACTTGGGAAAATTATGGGTGATAAAATGGAAAGAGGGTGAAGACCAACTAAACAGCAGCCTGAAGTCCCTGGGTGCAAAGAAGGCCTTCTAGTCCATTCCAACTTACTGTGACACTATAGAACAGCATAGAACTGCCCTTAGGGTTTCCAAGGCTGGTGTAAGATAAGCACTGGATCCTATACAGGGTCCCTATGAATCAGAACCAACTCAATGGCACCTAATAATAATAACAAGTTTTCTAATAAACATTGTAACTGTGAATATATGTGGCCATTGTAATGAATTATCAAAGTCAGCAGAGAAGTAGAAAGTGCAGTGGGAGAGACAACTGGTGTCAGAATTAGTACAAAGATTGGAAACTGGAGCCCTGTCTTACCTCTGCCTCATAGGACTACTCATCCTTGGGCTCAATCTGATGGTGATTCTCTTTCCCCTAGTGAAATTACAGGTCAGACCTCATGCCATTTTAGTTAATAAACTCTTCTAAGTCAGAAAACACAAGTTCCTAGTCCAGTGTGGTGGTGTTGTTTTGTGCCATGGAGTCAGTTCTGAGTCATAGCAACCCTGCACAGGGTTTCCGAGGCTGTATATCTTTATGGGAGCAGAAAGCCTCATCTTTCTCCTGCAGAACCACTGGTAGTTTCAAACTGCTGACCCTGAGGTTAGCAGCCCAATTCATAACCACTACGCTACAAGAGCTCCTTCTAGTCCAGTGTACTAACCATTAATCCATACCTCTTAGATTTTGTAGATCAAACTTTGGGCCTAGGCTTGGAGCACACCAACATTAAGTAGATGATGCTACCAGATGCCCTCAAGTTGATTCCAACTCATGGTCACTCCATGAATATTAGAATAGAACTGTGCTCCATACAGTTTTCAGTGTCTGATTTTTTGGAAGTAGATCACTTAGGACTTTCTTCTAAGAAGGACTCGAATCCCATCAAAGTTTTCAGTTAGCAACTGAGTGTTCTAACAATTTGCACCACTCAGGAACTTAATTGTTGTTGCCATTAAGTGCCATCGAGTTGGTTAAATGCCATCTGACTCATAGCAACCTTGTACAGGATTACCAAGGAGTAGCTGGTGGGTTTGAACCACCAACATTGTGGCTAGCATTCCACGGCTTATCCTATGGTGTGACACCAGGACTTCCCCCAGGGACTTTGTTGTTGTTAAATGCTGTCAAGTCAGTTTTGACTCATAGTGACTCCGTATAGGGTTTCCAAGGAGTGGCTGGTGGGTTTGAACCACCAACTTGTGGTTTTTAGTCCAGTACTGATCCTACAGTGCCATACAAGGAATCGGATAAAGCCCCAAATCAAAAACCCAATCTCACTGCCGTCAAGTCAATTCCATCTCATAATGACCCTGTAGGGTTTCCAAGATAGTAAATCTTTACAGGAGCAGACAGCCTCATCTTTCTCTCTTGGATTTGAACCCCAACCTTTCTGTTAACAACTCGATGCCACATCCATAAGTGGATCTAAAATCATGTTTCCTTTCCATGCCAGGAGTTCAGGTATGAACTCACCTGTGAATTTTGGAGGATTTACCAAGAGGTAAATTCTGTCTTTTCACCACTGCATCCGTTTTTTCATTACTGCAGCCACTTGTCCAAATCCACCTATAATCTCCACTCAATTTATGGAGTTTTTTGTGTGACAATTTGTTTATGTAAAGATTATAGCCTGGGAAATCCTAGGGGTAGATCTGCTTTGTGTTACAAGGTCTGTAGGAATAGAAATCAATGCAACAGCAATGAGTTATCATTTATAAAGCACTTTCTCATTAAGTTTTTCTCATTTGATCTGCTTCAGTGTGGTAGATTGCTTTTATACAAGACCTCTCTAGCTATGGTCTTTTAATTCCCACCAAATGATTGAATGGGTCTATGCAAATAAGGTGCTTGTGTCCCAAGGGGATTGGACAGCTCGCTAATAATGCAAATAAGATGTATGGAACCCTAATGAAGGCATTGGTTGTTGCCTTCAATTAGGCTTAAAAGAGAGCCAATCCCAGAATAAAGGGGGGACCTTACTACCTCTAAGAAAGAAGAGCTAGACATGGAGTGTGTTCTTTGTACATGGAACTCCTGCACTGAGAATCTCCTAGACCTAACAGAGAGAGGGATCTGCAACATGGAAGACAGCAAAATACAGTGGCATAGCAATAGCAATGAGAGACAGCAAGATCTAGGAGAGGTTTTGGTGGGTCCTGCCAACCCACGAAGCTCAGAGTTTATTACTTGTCTAAGAAGACCTACAGCACGGACAGGCAGCAGAGGACAAGAAGAAGCTGTCCTGATGGAGAAACTGTTTCCTGAGTTATTTCTGTTACTTCCAAATGAACCCCCATCCCAAGTTGCACCCTGTTACTTCCCCATAATTGCACCCTGTTAAACCCCATAATTGTGAGGATTATCTATGAGTTCTGTGTGGCCATTGCCATGAATTGTCAGACCCAAAAGAGAAGTAGAGAGTGCTCTGGGTGGAATGGCTGGTGTCAGGATTGATAAACAGTCTGGAGACAGGAGGCATGTCTGACTTCCGCTTCATAGGAATCAGTTTGGGACTGTTGATGCTGTTAGCGATTCTTTCTTTCTTTCATGAAGTTTGTGGTCAAACGACCCCACCACACTGCCATCTTTACATTCGCACAACAACTGGGAGTAAGAGTCCTATCTGACAAAATAAACCCATAAAAAGTAAATAATCTGCCCAAGTTTGCTTAACTAATAAAGGAGAGGATCTATCCATAGGATATGGCTTTCTTATTGTCAGAGGCAGGATTCTGTTGATTTGTGTAAAGACCTGATCAGAGTCTGCAGTTAGAAGGGATAGCGAAACACTGAAAATGGAAGAAATCACAAGGGAGAGTGTCCTTCAAGCAGTATTTAGAAACACCTTCACTAACTAGTCCTTTGACCTTTAAAAAAAGGCAGAAGAGAGTGCAGAGATCTAATGTTGTCTGGAATGGAAAATACAGTAAAAGAATGAAAAAATTTTGAGAAGGATCTGCAACTTGCACATAAAATGATTTTTTATGTGTAAGGTGAAGTGCATAGCTGAGGAAGC